AATTTCATGTTGATCGGTGCAGCTGTTTTTGTGCTACAGTTGACCAAAAATCTCCGGAGGAAAAAATAAATAAATTAAAAATAAACAATATGACTCCCGCTTACGCTTCATGTGCGGGGGTCATAATAACCCCACATATTTTCTCTGCAGGGTTTGGCTGACGTTTACATTAATGCACACAAACCACACCAGTTTAATGTTTTATGCAATGAGTGGCAACTAAGTATTTGTTCATCAAATACAAAAAAAATTGGAGACTCCTAAATGTCCACATTGGTTTGGATAAATATTATCCCACATACAGTGGGGGAAAAAGGCTTTAGTCAACCACCAATTGTGCAAGTTTTCCCACTTAACAAAATGAAAGAGGCCTGTAACTGACACCATAGTTAGACCTCAAATATGAGACAAAATGAGAAAACATCTAAAAAAACCCATTGCCTGATTTTTTTTAGGAATTTATTTGCAAATTATGAAGGAAAATAAATATTTGGTCAATTACCTGTGGTAATGTCACCTGTTTGAAGTCGTTAACAGTATAAAAGACACCTGTCCACAACCTCAAACAGTCACACTCCAAACTCCACTATGGTGAAGACGAAAGAGCTGTCGGAGGACACCAGAAACAAAYTGTAGACCTGCACCAGGCTGGGAAGACTGAATCTGCAATAGGCAAGCAGCTTGGTGTGAAGAAATTAACTGTGAGAGCAATAACTATCAAATGGAATCACATACAGGGGTTAGACAATAAAACTGAAACACCTGTCATTTTAGTGTGGGAGGTTTCATGGCTGAATTGGACCAGCCTGGTGGTCAATCTTCATTAATTACACATTGCACCAGTAAGAGCAGAGTGTGAAAGTTCAATTAGCAGGGTAAGAGCACAGTTTTACTCAAAATATTGAAATGAATACAACATTATGGGTGACATACCAGAGTTCAAAAGGACAAATTTTTGGTGCACGTCTTGCTGGTGCATCTGTGACCAAGACAGCAAGTCTTTATGATGCATCAAGAGCCACAGTATCCAGGGTAATGTCAGCATACCACCAAGAAGGACCAACCACATCCAATAGGATTAACTGTGGATGCAAGAGGAAGCTGTCTGAAGGGGATGTTTGGGTGCTAACCTGGATTGTATCCAAAAAACATAAAACCATGGCTGCCCAAATGTTTCTGTTTCATTGTCTAACCCCTGTACAAGACCACTGATAATCCCCCTCAATAGGGGCTCCACACAAGATCTCACCCCGTGGGGTCAAAATGAAGAAGGCTGGGACTRACGTAACAAAGGCTACCGTCAGTAACACACTATGCTGCCAGGTACTCAGATCCCTGCCAGACATGTACCCCTGCTTAAGCCAGTCCATATCCAGGCACGTCTGAAGTTTGCTAGAGAGCATTTGGATGTYGCAGAAGAGTATTGGGAGAATGTCATATGGTCAGATGAAACCAAAGTAAAACTGTTTGGTAGGAACACAACTCATCATGTTTGGAGGAGAGTGAATGCTGAGTTGCATCAAAAGAACACCAACCCTACTGTGAAGCATGGGGGTGGCAACATCAAGATTTGGGCCTGTTTTCTGCAAAGGGACCAGGACGACTGGTCCGTGTACATGAAAGAATGAATGGGGCCATGTCTCATGAGATTTTGAGTGCAAACCTYCTTCCATCAGCAATCATTGAAGATGAAACATGGCTGGGTCTTTCAGCGTGACAATGATCCAAAGCACACCACTAAAGGAGTGGCTTCGTAAAAAGCATTTCAAGGTCCTGGAGTGGCCTAGCCAGTCTCCAGATCTCAACCCCTTAGAAAAATTTTGGAGGGAGATTAAAGTCTGTGTTGCCCAGTGACAGCCCCAAAACATCATCATCATCATCAT